CCATCGGAAGCCATCCTATGGACACGTAGCCACTATCTCTGGGACCCATAAATATCATAGAATTGTGGGAACTCTACTTAAAAATTCAATTGGAGGGCTCTCATTAGGACCTCCAGAATGTCTAAAACATAGTTATGCCCCTGTGTATAATATGTGCTTGTACACACACAAGCACATGGGCAATGCACTGCAACTACAAACTGAATTTAGTATTACCCATCATTCTCAATAGCCCCAGGGCAGCGAACTGGGATGCTGCAGACTATGTAAACAAAAAAAGGTAGTTTTCTAACCTGGTAAACTTGTCTTCTCTGATATTTAACATTTTTACCCCAGTCCCGGTTGAGTTGCAGAACTTTAGGGACTTGGAGATGCACAAAATTACTTCACTCCTCTCTAAAGTTGAATTGATGCTGTCTGTCATACTTCCTCCTGTCAATGTCTTTGGCCACAAAACCCGATGGAAAACCAGGACTGTGTGCAGCCATACATTGCACAGCTGCCCAAGAGAGTACAGCCGCTCTCTGTGGCGTAAGGAAAATAATTGCCTTGCCCTGCAAAATGTTGCACTTTTGACAGTTGGTAGCGGAAACGTGTCAAGAACAGCAGCAAATGCAACAGCAAAAGGTGGGGAGGAGAGAGACTGTTTGACGATGTAAACATGGGCGTCATGTCACAAGTTAACAATACAGGTTTCAAAATGAGCTCTGCAAATGTTTCATGAAGAGGGTGTGTGCATTCAACATATCTTTTGGGTCTCTAGGATACACACAATTCATATGTAGGGTTATATGTGAAATGATTACTGTCTATTTTAATGACAACGCTTAAAATTTGGTTTAGTTGATATGACCCAATAGTTCAGGAACACCTGCTTGTGTTTATCCACCCCGAGATCATCTGAAATCTGGAACTTCTCTGCTTGATTCCCTACGGTGAGGGTTGGGAGAAGGGCTGCTAACAGATGCACAACTGCCATCTGGTTCTGAGGTAGCGGCCCTGGAGGTGGTGGTGGTGGTGGTGGAAGCACTTGTCCCTGCTGCGGTAGCTAGCTCGGTGGTAACGTCAACCTAGTTCCAATTTCATTACTGGCCTCTGCAAAACTGCATAGCTGTAACTGCTGAGTGACCACCTTCGTTACTTGAGCTTTCACTTTGGTATGGCCACAGATAAATACTGTGGTAGATGAATGTTTTAGATGGGGTAGTAAATGTATACAGTTTGTTTAGGGGGGTTGTGATGTTATGGTAGGGGGATGAATCTGGTCACAGTCACAGGGTCAGATCAATGGACCATTTGTGTTGAAGACCTCAACCTTTCACATGTGATTTACAGCAGTGCTGTAAATATGATACCAGATGTGTTTTTGGTTGGATGTACTGAAAGGTAGATGAGGGAGAGCATTCTGGAAGTCTGGGGAGAACATCTATGCTGAGGTCTTCTCTCCATGCTGCATGAGTAAAGGAACTTGATTCATCACACTGGGTTCGTAATTCTTCACCGAACTTGCAACTGTCAACATTATGGAAGAATTTCTCATACATTACGATTGCTGGCTAGCCCAACACTTGTGAAAGGAAAGTATAATACTGACTTAAAGGCCAACATCTAGGAGGATCTATTGGCAGAAATGTAATATAATATTCATAGGTAGGTTTTCAGTCGTGTTTAATCACCTGAATACAAGAATCGTGTTTTCGTTACCTTAGAATGAGACATTTTTATCTACAGACGCCGTGGGTAACCTTCTGTGGAGTCCACCATGTTGATCTGCCATATTTCTACAGTATGCCAGAACGGACAAGTCCAACACTGACTGTAGATCGAAACCTTTTGCATTTTTTGTGAGTTTTGCAGCCACCGTAGTTTCTTCTACACACTTTACAGCGCATTCTCATTTCCAGGTCGTCAAATACAGACACGAGTGGTGTTCAGTTATTTGCAATCTGCAGCTTCACTGCTAGATGCTACTAAATCCTAAACACTGGTCCATGAAAAAAAAGAAAGTTTGACATCATTCACATTGTTACACACAACTCAAAAGCAGTCTAGGATCACCAGCTGGGGTGTATTTAGACCATATTATCAGAAGTGGAACCAGTTCCTTAAGACTTATCATCCCACAATGAGAACATGATATTTTATATGATAAAGCACATATATAGCCAACAACAACAAACAATAATAACAAATCTCAATTTAAAGAAAATAAATTATAACAATAATGCCCACCCATAATGCTGGGTCTGCCAGGGAGTCCAAACCAATCAATGTATTTGTCACCTCCTCAGTTATCAGTTATCCAAACTCCTGGAAGTCCAATGTCTGCCCCTCCTGTTTGTGTTTTCACGTCATTAATATTTGTCATCTTGTGTTTTTCTCTTTTTCAGTATGAATCAATACTGGGAGTTCTTTGTCTCACTTTCTCCATTTAGCATTTCGTCTCTCCATCAATAAGTCTAATAAAGTCAGCCTGGAAGCCAACTGAAGTTCAGACAAACAAGCAATTAAAGCACCTGTGGCTTGATGTCTGCTGTTTGATGATGCCTGAGAGAACAGAGCAGGAAAAAGCTGACCTGACAGCGTCTGACAGGCAGAGAGAAATACAAACTAGTTGTTAGGTTTGGCTCACCAGCAAAATACACTGCGTGTGGGGAATATAAAATAAATCCTGTCACAGCATTTTCCCCATTTATATTTCTCTGGGAAATATTTGTTGCTGAGCTGCTTTACATTCACACAGCAGGTGAACGGTGCACTGAAGGCAACGCTGAGCTCACCCAAAAACTGAAATAAAGCTAAACACAGAACAGCATATAAATGTATGTGTGTATAGTCGCTGCAGCTTTCTATTATGCATTTATTTTGCACTCCGCCACACTGTAGGTATATGAAGATGAAAGAGGTACCTGTGAGCGGTTCAAACTCACACCTGCTGCTCTGGAAAACAAAATGGCTAAGGCTCAGACACCATGGGAATTTAAGAATTGTTTTATTATACATTGTGATGGAAAATAATAGAAGGGAGTAGAATGTCTGTGATTCTGAATCAATCCTGTGATTGAGATGAAGAGTGGAGGACAGGATGTGAACAAAGCCAAGAGTGGAGACACAAGTAAACAGAATATTTCAGATTAACTGCAGATGATGTAGTGACAGCTGCTGTGCAAAGAATCCGACCTGTTTGGGCAGCAGGCCTGTTCACACTGCGGAGTCTGAAACCTTTGAGGAGCTCTGTTTACTCTGCAAACATGTACAATCTGTAAGAATCTGCTAGAACTAGTTTCTACAGGGAATAAACAGCTCAGCTGACACACAGGCTGCAGGGTTCTGTGCCTTGCTCAAGACTGCCACAGTGCTGGTTGATGAGGAAGAAGAGAAGCTCCTGAGTCCAGATTTCCTCAGCTAGTTAAAGCTCGCCAGTTTGTCCTCCATAGTATCTATGAGGAAAATAAGCTATACAAGGCTGAACTCATTTTTTTTAATGAAGGAATTTAATACTAAAATGACTTTAAGTTTGGAAGATGTCTGCTTGATCTGAACAAGTCTCTCACTTCAGAAACACTCTGGATTTTTTGAAGTGATGTCCCCCATCACTTACACTGAAAACACACTAGAAATTGATCTTTTATTGGCCAGTATGAACAGGAGGAATGATTACAGCAAGAAAAACCTGTCTAAATGTTAATATGTTTACTACGTAGCAGAAAGCACTATGACCCAGTATGGGGTCAATATAACACTGATACCATACTGGGTTCATTTTACCCAGTTTCAGTGGGTAGAAAACCACCCAACAGAAGGGTTGCTTTGATCCTGTAACCCAAGAGTAATATAAAAATAACACCAATGCTGGGTCAAAACACACCCACTGGTACTGGGTCAAGTTAACCCAGTATTGCCTCAGTGCTATATTGACAATATTTAGTGTGTAGGGAAGTTTCTAGTCCTTAACTGATTAGTCACTGAATAAAAGACTAATTTAAAAAGAAGAATTTACAACAATGTTAATAATTGATTAACCATTTATCAAGCAAAAATGCTCATCACTGTCTTATATCTTCAAAACAGTAGTTTGTTTTTAAATTGTGTATTTAGCTGAAGAAACAGGAACACTTAATCAGTTCATGGTCTTCTTGGGTTTCAGCTTGTTAAAAGTGAGGATTTGCTACCAGTTTTATATCATCATTCACGTCTACCGGTTTTGGGTAAAATGATTCATTTTAAGACATCACATTGGGCTCTGGAAGACATGCAGGTTAGGTTAACTGGCAACTCTAAACTGCCCATATAATAAGTGTGAAGTGAGTGTTAATGGTTTCCTCTATGTGTCAGCCCTGTGATTGACTGGAGACCTGTCCATGGTGGACCCCGCCTCTCGCCCTGTCAGCTGGGATCAGTTCCAGCCCCCCCCATGACCTTTCAAAGGACAAACAGGCTAATGGATGGACATTGGACTCTGGAAAATGGGGTGGCCATTTCGCAATCCTTTCTGACATTTCTGAGACTCCAAGAAGTGTTTTACAATAGTAGATGAAGTGACTTAACCGAACCCCCTAACATTATTTTGCACCTAGATGTGTTGTCTTCCACTTACAGGTAAACACAGTCGGTGGTTTAGGGTTTGTGCAATAACCATGAACGGCTCTGTGGAGTACTGAATGTACTTGTGCAGCTCTTTGTTACTTTATTGTCTCTGTCATATGTCTGACTTGTATATTGTATTCAGCGTTTGTGGAAGTGCAGTGCTGAGCCCAAGACGATTATCCCCATGGAAACGTTAAAGTATGTTCTATTCAGTTCTGTTCTAAATGATTAACCAATTATTGGTGAAAAATAAACCAGCAGATTAATCTCTAGCCATCATTTACGATCTTATTTTAACACCTGATCCGACCTACAAACCTTACATACTAGTTTTCATTGGTAGAGGCTGTCGTTAGCGTCTACGTGTTTTTTGGGGGGTTAGTGTTAGTGTGAAGTGACATGAGGACACTGAAGAGGTTTTCTGTTTAGTTTTATTAAAGCCACACAGTCAGTTCACAGCTGCCCCGACAGATACAACTGCTGCACTGCAGAAACTCCCATCTGCTGTGTGAATACATGTGTGTGAGAGTGAGTTCAACATCATCTTTCTTTGGCAACACTTCAAAGATTTCATGATTCATCTCAGGCCATAGCCCTGCGGCACCAAATAAGTTAAAAACAGCAATGTGACTAAACACAGTTACAAAACAATAAATTATGAACAGTAATGCTGTACAGGCTGTAAAACCAGATCATCAGCAGGTTAAACATGTTACATGCTACACACGTTGGTTTAACAGCGGGTTAGTAAAAAACAATCACAGGTAACTGAACAATATAAACAGAATGTACAGGATTATGTTCAGGCTCTGCTCTCAGGCAAACACTAATACTGATAAAGAGGGCTCACACACACTCCAGTTACATAGTCAGACACAACCTAGGTCTCCTGCTCCCTCTAGTGGTGGAGAGTTGAAAAAAAAAAACTTATTTGGTAACAAAAACACACACACACACACACACACACACACGTTTGCGTAAGGACATCACCTCACCTGGAAGGACAATGTTCATGAACAAACAGGAAGGTTTTAATGGAAAAATACACCCTTACTACTTATACATGCTCATATATAAATAGCTCACGGGTCTCAATGTTTTCCAGGAGTCTGTGGTGAAGTTATGTGGTTAGGTTTTTGCAGTATCTACATTTTTGGCCATATTTCTGGGGGAATAAAAAAATACTTTCTTTACAAAATGGATTCAGAATCGCAGGGCGCATTACTGATAGCAGCTTCACACTGTTCTGGAGAGGTGAAAGCAGGTAAAGCGTTGTCAGGTTGGGGGGGTTCTTTATTTTCCTCCATCTGCACTAACCTTGAGGCCATTTGGTATTTTGGTATATTAATAACATCTCACACACACTGTCCCTGTCTGTCCCTCCTGCTGCTCTGCTCCATCCTGACATTCAGACGAATGGGAACAGCTAAGCTCCAGCTGAGCAGCTCTGAATCCCATCCTCCCTCCCCCCCTCCGCTTCACATCCACAGCAGCTGAAACAGCACAATCCAGTGGAGGAACGCTCAATTTTATGCAAAACATGCTTGTGAAACAAGAAGTCCACTCTGAGGAATGTCATATGCAGTCACTGTCAAGGAGACGCCATCGTGCAGGAGGAATGATCATTTAAATGTTGCTTCTCTTCTCAAACGTCTCCATCATGAAAGATTCAAATGCTTCTCTAAAAGCAGGGAAATTATTTTTACACTTTTTAACTCTTTATGTGCATAGAATAGATGAGTACTTATCTTGTCTGGCTAAGAGAATGATTCTTTTGTTTAAATTTAATAAATACAGGCTGAATATGACCATCATCCTATGACATAAAATCATCACATCACCTAGTGAATTTTTAAGCTTATATATGTCTTGAGAAAGGCGGCTGTGTGGCTAAATGAGAGTGCAGACATTGTCTGTGACATTAAACATCACACTTAAAGTTTGGTGGTGGTGAAGTAAAGTGATGCCTACAAAAATACGTCATCCCTGCAGCACTCTAGTAGTTTGTCAGATGTGGGATAGTGACAGTCAACCAATGACTGTCAATATTCCAATATTTCAATATTCACCATTTGACAACATTTTTAGCTGTCAATACATCCGGCATTTGACAAACTAATGGAGATGAAGACTTGACTCCAAATCCAAAATGTACGTTGACAGGATCAGGAAATGATTTAGGTTAAAGAGACAGGAATGTTGTTTTGACTCGTTGCAGCAAGTTGGAGAGTTTTCTTCCAATAACACGGATTTTAAAATCTGAATGTGTAGAAATAAAATGTATAGAAAAAGACACTCTCTCTGCCTCCATTTCCATGAGACCATAGCACTCTTTGTCAGTGCAGAATGGTTCCTCTGCAGGTCTATATGCCTTGTTACAATAAGAAACTGAAGTGGCAAACGTTCCCTAAACTGACAAAAACAATTTAATTCTGCCGTCGCTAAATGTTTTCGCAGTCCCGCCAACTTGATGAAATGCCACAGGAAAACGCGACCTGCACTGATTGGACAGTATCCATAGCAACAAGCATCATCAGGTGCCTATGAATACAGAAGTAGGTCGCTTTAGTCATGTCTATAGTATTTTACATCTCTGGATTAAAACCTTTTTAAGCCAAAAACCTTAAGGAGCAATTTAGTCTCTTACTGTAATAGGAATATAGAGAATGAAAGCAACAGCAACACATCTACACATACAGGAGTGAATGTGGGAAGAGAGGGGTTATTTAAATCAGCTCATGGTTAGAGAGGGAAAAGGAAGGAGAAAAGAGACATCCACACTAACAGGATAACTCTGCCGAGGCTCCTGCCTGCCTGCTGTTCCTCCCATTTTCCCTCCAACTCTTTCAGTTCTTCTCCCCGTTCCTTCCCCTGTCTCTCTCCTACTCGGCCCTGGAGACATTTTACATTTACATTACATTACACAGTCTGAGATGATGAGAGCGCTGTGTACCTGTCAGTCTTGATACAGTACTGCTCCTGCCTCCAGGTGAGGAGGGGGAGACTCAACACACACACACACACACACACACACACACACACACACACACACACACACACACACACACACACTAACCTGTCAGCTCAATTTCATATCAAACAGATGCGCACGAACACGTTTTGCTCTCTGTGTGTCTAAGTGTTGCGGTTAGCTCGCTAACACGCGGACACTTTAACGAGAACATGCAGTCAATCATTTTCAATTCAAGTGTTCTTTTTTTCTTTTCCCGCAGAGGATCATGGGATATAAGTCGCTCTTCTCATGCAGCTCAGACGACCCCCATTCACCTCCCCATCTTCCATGGTGCTGTTCAACAATGGCCACAAAAAATCTGCAGTGCATCTTGAAGATCGCCCTTTCGCCTCGAGATGTTAAACTCCATCTCAGCAAGCATCTGTCCTGCCTCAGTGCTCACGAGCAGGACAGCGTGTTAACTACCAGCACACGGGCTGCAGCTTCCTTCATTGTTTCCAGTGTGTCACATATATTAACACTAGTAAGGCCAAGTCCATAAAAGCAGAAAAACTTAAAACACTGTAGGTATATTGAAGGTTGTCCTTTACCACTAGCATTATCCGTCCTCATCCAAACGTCCCAACAACAGCACTAATGTAGAAATGTCCTCTGCTGTTCATGTTACATGTTCCAGACGCGCTGTCTTCCTGACGTTGACACACTGTTGCACCACCAGTAAATATCGATAGCTAGAGTTTGGATGACACTACAGTCAGATGCCAGCGTTTGTATATGCTCACTCTCCACTTTGGAAAGCACTTTAAAAGATACAGTTTTTGTGTGGATGGAAAGTCCATACTTGTAAAAGGTTATATTTCTTTCCTTCCTTATCCAGTCAGTGTCTGAGGAGAGAGGCTGCAAAGACTGTACAGTTCTTTGAGGCAGAGATGGGATTTTGGGTTATATAAATAAAACTGATGTGACTTCACTTTTACTTTCCTTTCCTTGCAATTTAAAAAATCTGACCGCACTGGTTTGCACAGGAAGTGGGTGTAGTAATGAAGATAAATTAAAAAGTTCAAGCTATAAAACTGAAAAAAACCAAACAGAATTTAGCTAACACTGTGGCCATAATGCTGTTGTATTTAATGGCTCATGTCTTTTTAAAGACTGATTTTGACATCGAAAGAAAAAACTGATGGTCACTAAGGTGCAGCTTTTTTACAAAAAATACTGCTGTACGCCTTCTAAATACAGTACTGGTGAAACCTTTGTCATACGGTACAAGCTGCTGTTTTTCCTCTCCTTCCTTCCCTCCTAGCAGTAGGGCTTGAAAGTGCCAGGTGGCCCAGTCCCCAAAGGCATGATTGTGAGGTAGTTGGAGGGCACGTAGCCTCTGTGCCCTCCTCTCGCCTCCACTAGACTCCACTCTGGGTTCCCTCGTTTGTCATGGCGCTCCAGGACACGGACTGGTTCACCGGCCTGAACAGAAACTTCATGGTTTCCTCTCGCTTTGAAGTCGTAGGCTGCAAACACCTGGAAGAGAGGATGCCGAGTCAGAGACAAGAGTAAACAGCAGTCATGATAGAAACCCTGCTGTAAGGCTGTAAGGCTCGTTCCAGAGCAGAGACCAAAATGATGGGATGAGAAGAAAATGTAGAGATAAGTTTGTCAATCTGAGACCCTTACTAGCAATAGAGGAGACAAAATGTACAATTTGTCAGCGTGGCATCAGAGGAAAGGTCATGCTAACTCTAATGGGCTTATCCTCTCTAAAGTGGCCATTTTAAGACATCTAAAGCTCAACTTGTCTTTTGGCATTTACTGAACACTACTGGGGTTTATCCACCTCAGTGCAGCTCTGCTTTACCACAGCCGGCTCTCCAATGCAAGCACTTCACTGCATGTGCGAGTGAAGGAGTGTGTGTGAAGGTGAAACAATATCATTTCATCAATTTATACCCTGAAGTTGACAAATATAAACTTCACTAACTTATCTTTAGCGAAGGGAAATGTACAAAATGTACAATGTCCAATGCACACCTTGTCATTTTTAGCCGGCACTCACCATTGCCCTTTCTGGTTAAACATTGCCGTCACATCAGCGGTTGCCAATTCATGCTATTTCTGTGACTAACCTGATAATAGGCCAATAGGCCTGTAACACCGCTGTACCATCAGAGTGTTTGTGTAGTTCCAACAGCTCCTACACAGTGATAGGTCTTCTCTCTAGCTGATCGCTTCAAGTCAGTTTCAGGAGGCGCATTCTCAAGCTAATCTTTGAGCCATGAACTTAATATTTTTGAACCAGGACCAGCAGTATTTGGATCAAGTAACTTGTGGATGATATGATGTGTCAGATTAAGCAGGCTACAGCTTGCGTTCCAGCGGGTTAGATACATATTTAATCAACATTTAGGTAAATATAAGCATTGGATATAAAAGGACTCGGATCGGAATCAGAGCCAAAAAACTTGGGACATCATCCCTAATTAAGGTTGTTGTTGTACAAAGTTCCCAACACACGACTTCAAGAAAAGAGCAAGCACTGGAGAATGACTGCACACAGGTAATGTTAACACACACACACACACACACACACACAAATGATTGTAATATTCTCTGAAAAGGTTAAGCCCACTAGTTATGTCTTGACAAATCCCATCTCATCACCACACACACATGCACGCACACACACACATGCACGCAGACAGAATGAAGGCTTCCTAATGAGCCCGGTGTTGGTATGACAGAGAGCCCCAGCAGTGCTAATAGCCGAGTTTAGCCGGCTGCTCGGTGTCATTAACAAACCCTTCACCTCAGCTCACCTCTCAGCTGCGACATTAGCTCTGCCCTGACGGTCTACACCAATTAGCATTTAATTAGCATTTTGCCAGGCACAGACATGGAGGAGAACATTTAAAAAAAAAAAAAAAAGTAAAGTGACCATGTCTATGGGCTGCAGAGTGATTCATGTCGCAAGAACTGAGCGAATATTTGCCGCAGCTACGTTTCTGCTGGAAAGGAAGGAGTTGAGAGGAGTGGGATCCAGCTGAACGGCGCCTCTCTGTGTTGATAGTATGGTCATGACAACATAGTGGGGCCACAAATGTGAGATTTTAATTTGATTATTTCCAACAAAAGCAAAACAATAGTCTGCTTCAAGTCAAGGCAGCTCTTCACTATTGAATGTGTACTAGCGACAAATCTCTTCAGAAAGCACGATGTAAGACATGGGTAGACCTTCTGCTCACTCAAAGGAGATTAAACCTCCATTTTGTCACCTCTGACTTTGTGTGACAAGTATTTTGTTTTTAAAATATGGTTGAATGCATAGAACAGGTGCATAGTATTGTATCTCTTTCTTTCATTACAACACTATTCTCATTTATTTTTTAATGCATACCCAATAATTTCATCTCAATAAGTAACATTTCTTGCTATAATGACATATGAAAAGGAATTAAATAATGAATGACTTAATGAAAACAAGAACCTCTTGTTAGATCATAAGATGGTTCATGGTTACAGCAAGAAACTTCCAGATTCAATCAGTGCCTAAAGAGAGGATCTAGCTGCTGACATCACGGGGGGCTGCAGCCCATCCCCGCTCACATGCTATGTGTTATATGAGCAGACTCAGGGTCACGGGGGACGGGAGTGGGGAGGAGGGGGCATGAAAAGCCGCCACAGAGGCATATCTCACACACACGCACAGTCACACACCTGATACCCAACGCAATCCTGCTTTCTCATCCACTCACCTAAATCTCCCTCTCTCCCATGTACACGCCCCCATAAACCATCGTAAAATTTACAAGCCGAGACACTCCCATCTCACACTCACAATGTGTTGCAAATGTAAATCAATTTCACGACATACACACACACACGCACACAAACATGCTCTATCTCAGCCTGCAGTGCTGTGTCGCATAAATTAACTCTCAACCCTTCACACCATAACCCACTTACAAGGTTAAACAGCTAATTATGGACATTTCCATTAATAATGTGCACACAAACGCTTACACAGTCTTTCCCACACACACTCCAGTATGCCCTCTTACAGATATGGGTAGGCATACAATTACACTTACACATGGCTAGGAATGCAAGGATTCTCTCTCTCTCCCTCTCTCTCTCTCTCTCTCTCTCTCTCTCAGGCCCTGTTTACACCATCATGGGTGATCTGATCACAAGTGGACAGCTTTAAGTACAGGTGCACACACTGAGGACACATTCTTTTAGCAGTGTGTGTACAGATGTGCCCTGAGCCACACTGAAGGACCACTTACGCAACCGACAGTCCTGTAAGTACACATGAAACACGCTGTCTGATTTACATTTGGTGAACTGTAATTCCAATTACATATTTGGGCCCTCTCTCTTGCCAAGATAAGCAGCAGAGACTTGTGAACACACATCTGTTTCAACTGAATTCACCATTGAATGAGTAACTGCAACATCCCCAGAGCGCCCTGAGAAGATTATCCAATTTTGGTGAGTGAGGAGAAATTTGATTAACAGCTACAGCCAATTCTTAATCATTCGTGCCTTCTTATGGATTCGGCATTGTTTCTTTCCCTATAAGAAAGTCAGTTTGTCACTATAGTTAATGCTATACTGGTACTGGACTCTGAAGTGCATCTTAGATGCCAACATTTAGCAGATGTTTGAACACACCTTCATCTGATTTAACTATTTACACTAAATTTATGATAGTATTTTCAAATTTTAAAATACAGTAAATAGTCTTGTGAGACTTTGTGAATCACTTACTGCTACAAAAGATGAATTATTTGGGCCTGTAATTTCAGCCAATGTTATTCAATAAGTTATTATTTCTTTGTGTAAAAACATTGTGTCTGTTTCTCCCAGAACATTTGCTTCTAGGGTTGGCTGCAGGTCAAAAAATGCAGCGCATCTGGTCTTTGCAAGCGTTAATTTACATATAAAGCAGGGAAGTGAGATCTTATCACAAGTGTTCTCTTCAGACGCATGTGGAGATGCATTCTTATGCCAGGTGTGAACTGATGTCCTTAGAGCTGTCCACTTGTGATTGGATCACCTAAGATGCATGTTAATGCAAGGTGTAAACAGGGTCTCTCAAACACACACCACACACACACACACACACACACACACAGTCAGACATGTGAGAGATTGATGCTTCCGTAGCAGAACGCTGTCACATCAATCAGTTAAAGCTTCCAACACACACAGAGTCTGTAAGGTTTAATTTAGGAAATTAGCACACACAGTTTGGAGTCTGACGTGAGATAATTTAAACCCAGAGCAGCAAGCTGAGGCCGATGTCACTGCCAGTCTATGGTCTAAGGAGCACATGAGCTGCCTAGCAATATAATAAACACTAACAAGGCCCAAAAAGTGCTGATTGATGCATTAGCTAACAAAATATATAGTCAAACTACTTTATTTCACATAACATTTGGACGATAACATATAAACTGAAGCATTAAGGAGCTACAAATTAAGAGAATCACTTTCTTCCTCATTAATATGCAAATGTATGCAGCAAGTCTCTCCACCTAATCAGATCCTCTGCTCAGTAGAGGGATTATGCGTATTGAGTGTGAAGTTTCTATCATGTAAATACAGTCAATCAATCAATCACTCAGTCAATCACCTGGAAGCACGGCTGGCTCATGACAGTCAGTGGCCGGCCCTCTGGGGTGTAAGAGTGTCTTCTGATTCCTGTCACGCCCTCAGGCAGGGTCAAGTGTGGCGAAGGGGGCGGGTCCTCTGCTGGCTGGTGATAGCGAAGCAGCTTTGAGGAGGGAGCGTACCCTCTCCTGCCTGCAACATACACAGGTAGCGCAGGTGTTGTCCATGTTATTACATATTAGGGTGGTAACTAATGATTATTTACACTATTGTTTAATCTGCAGAAGTGAATAAATGTGTTGTTTGGTCTACGAAATGTCTTCAAATTGTTTTCCAGAGCCAAAGCTGATGCCTTTGAATTGCTTGTTTTGTCAGACCAATTGTCCGAAACACAAAAGAAAAAGTGTTCACATTGGGGTATCTGGAATCAGTGAACTTTTCAATTTTGTATGACATTTCTACATAAAAATATGACTTGATTTATTAATAAATTATAAAAAATGCTGCTGATTTTTTAATGATTTACTTTTGTAACATTTAGTCAGTAACCCCAGAACAAACCTCTTAACATTTAAAACTGGATTTTACAGACTCTGTAGTATAAAGTATGGATCCTAACATGTAATGTGACCTCTTCTGGGTGTTTAATCCAACATTAAAAATAATAATAACCTGGAATCTCTCTTTAATTACACCAACTTTAACACTTCCAAAAATCACACTTTAACTGTTCCTATTTTCAGACTGTCCTCTAAGTCCCTGCTTTACTGTTTACTACCCTGTGTTTTCATTGCTGGTTATTTGCAATAACAACAAACACCCAAAAGATGGCGACAAAGAGTTGCATTTAAGAGAAGCTGCACTGGTTTAAGAAAATATTCTATAGTAATATCTGCCATTTCTGGGTTTCTATCCACCAAACACCTCTTTTAACCACAGACATAAATGACACACTGTAGGTAATGCAGACAGAAAGTGTTTTCAACACGCTCTTTTTCTCCACTAGAAGGCCACAGTCACAAATGATGCTCTTATAAATGTATCTGCAGGTTTCATAGAATTATTTTCATGATTAGGAAACACATTTTAGCAAGAATAACAGCTAACTTTCAGTTGCATTCAAATTTCAGAGGTTATGACAGCACTCGGTGGTGAGCATGGGCAGCATGCAGCATGAATGAGTACACAAAAGCTCTCTGGTTCAATAAACTCAAATTTTATCAACAGAAAATCTAAGAAGAAAACATTTGCCAACACTGCCTCTGTGATAAGTGAGAAGTTGACATAAGAAAACAAGAGATAAAAAAAGGATTTAAGATTAAGATTGAAACAAATGGTTGATTAACATTTCAAGCAGTTATCCACTAGGAGGATGTTGGTTCTTACCTCCTGTGTCAACCAGCCACCTTCGTTTGTCTCCACGGGTGTCTGCCTCACTGATAACGGCCACCAGCTCCCCTTTGGCCAGGTTCAGGTCCAGGTCTCGGCTGCCTACCACCGCCCCAATCACCTGGTAGATCTTTCCAGAACCGTGTTTATCTGTTAGCTGCTTCAGACGGTGCTGAGAAGATGGACTCAGAGGCTGACAGAAGAAAACACGATACAGAAGAGAGTGGAATGTAAAGAGAGAACCGACTTACCCTGCTCTGAGCTGAAAATTAAACTGTTTACTGAGTTATACAAACAGGAGCTTACATTTCTTACTGAGGGCTTACGTGTTAATGTGATGTCAAGCCAAACTGGAGTTTTACATTATTTTTCTAGTAGAAAATACATCTTTGGTTCCAGCTTCTAAGTGAAAGCAGAAAGTCTTAATTCTGAGATGTATCTCATTTAAATTAGAGTAGATGCTGTTGACCAATCAGAATCCAGAGTCGTACACATTTGAAAACCAAATCATGAAAATGAATCATGTGGGACTCAGCCTGCTATGTGCCATCACAGGAAAGTCCCGCTTGGAATGACAGCGTAGCCAAAACATGCTGGGAATTAATTAATAAAGTTGCAGAACAAGAAGCACATTCAGATTAAAATTACACATGAATGACATGACATAATAAGATATGATGACAACTTGTGAGCTCAGCAGAAAGTTATCACCTAAGACCGAAGGTTATTATTAACCTTTGATACGAGTGCAACCTGCTCTTTCAGTAGGTTATTTATGTAAGTTGCCTGGCAGGTTCAGGGAATGTGGCCCAGTTCAAGCTGGAGTGTGGTTGGTAGGAATCAGTGTTTGACACATTTGGTTATGACCTTATTGTTGCACAAGGGTTAAATTTGAGTTAGAAAGGTCAGAGGATCAATGTCATTAGAATTCATCCTCTGGGGACAATGAATATCAATGAAGGACAATTTATTTAAAGGCAACCCATCTAAATGTTCCTACAGCCACAGCTTGATTAAAGGTATAATATGTAATATGCCTTAAAATGTCTAAAATTAACTAGACCTATATTATATATTTTGTTGAGTAATATACTAAAATTATCTGAAATGTTTCCAACATTGTTCAAACCCAGAGAAATCCATAATTTTGTTTCCTACTTGCCTGTAGTTGCTGTAACTTCTGGGTGAGTATGAGGAACGAAGTCGGAGAACATGACTATTATATATATATTTAAAACAGCGTGTCTTTAGACAGAGTTTCATTTAATGCCTTTTTAAAACTTAATTAGAAGGAATTCAATACTGACTTTTATTTAAACTATACAGGAACCTTTTTTCTTTGTAGGAAAGTATGACAGGTAAGAATATAATGAGAGTTTTGTTTGTTTTTAATTGAAAACAGGAAACAAAATGTGTAGGATGTAAACATAAAAGACGGTTGTTGGATTTAAAACTCTTTATGGTGTGTAATGCTGGGTATTTGTAAAAGAAACACTTTTAAGTACTGACGCCATGTGTAACTGGTTCTACTGGAGTGATGGAAGCCGCTACATTGATCTGAGGTAAAAACGACTACACTTACAGACATTAACAACAAACGTTTTGTCAGTCATTTAACACCTGCTGCTCGTACATACACATTCTCACTCAAGTACACGATCACTCTTTGTAGTTTGTTTGTCTTTGGATTGCGGAATATGTAGTGTTGTGTAAATGTTTTGTGCCTAATGTTACAGTTAAGCTGCTCAAATTTCTTTTGCACCTGTTGTGTGACAGAGGTCAGGTGTCCAATGACAACAATGTTTGTTGTTCTGTTTTAATGATATTGTTAATTCACAGTCTGTTGACCATCATGTCTGCATGTGAACATTTGATCCATCTATGGCTTATAACACTAGGTCTGGGTTTCAGAGGGTTCATGAAGCAAATAGACAAACAAGAAAAACACACTGTTATGTAACAGCTATTTCAGTTTTGTTTGTACCAACCTGGACGACGGGCGCATTGAGCGTGTCCTCGACACTTCGACACAATGTCTCCAGCTTCTTTGCACCTTCCAGCACAGCAGACTCCGCCCACCTCCAGAATGCACTGGGGTCAAGAGCGCTGTGAGGGAGCTGGAAATAAAAAAATAAATAAATATAGTGAGACAGAGACAAAGAAACAAAATGAGTATTGAAATTCACTTAAACCTTTCAAAATCATTTATGTTCATATCCTGAAGGGTTAGTGTACTGGAAGATAGCTACCTCATGGTGGTTTTTTTACTTGTTAGATAACTGCTTGGGTGTAAGATGCAAGTATCACATCTCCACCTCACTGAAAACTGAAGACCCTGCGAACTTCTCAACAACATGTTTATCAGTTTTTCTGCTTTATTCTATCATCAGTTCAGCGGCTCGAGGGGGGAACAGATTACCTGTTGTGCAAAGCTCTGGAACAGTTGCTCCATGTCTGAGGCGAGGTCTTTATGCAGACAGCTGAACGTCCCCAACATGCTCCAGATCATCTGTAGAGCCAAACCATTAAACTGAGGAAGCTCGTTGAGGAGCAACGTGTTCATTGTCCTGTGAGGAGAAAAGACATGTGAGTTCAAGTCAGCGATAACCATTAAACATTTGACTTTTACACAAATGGAAAAAAAACTGTTCAACATTTGATTTAATTAACATTTAATCCTTTGATTAGATGGGCTCCACAAGCTCCAATTCCATTTTAACATCACTTCCAAATGGTGTAATCATGCAGACATTGACCACTCAGAGGAGCAGGCTGTAAAAATAGAGCCTGACTTTCTGGCTTGACACTGACTTAGACAGACTAGATTTTCTTTTGTTCTGGCTCAAGCGGCTCAACACGCCCCCTACTGTTTAAAATCACGACAAGACAAATGCGCTTATTTTTAAATGTATACTGATGGAGATGCATCATTGACAAGAGTTTATGCAAGTTTTTGCTAAACCTCTACTTTCCTCTAGTATATTTCTATTTGGCGCATTCGTTCAGACAGCAGTGTTTACCCTGATCCCACGCACTGACAGTCACCCCCCAGACACACACACACATACAGCAGAGTTAGCCTCTGTAAGCCGCTAGCTCAGCTACGACGCAGATACCACACAAACGGCTACAGTCCAACTTGTAATTTCAAAACCATCCTTCTCCGTTTCTACCTGTACGTGTTGGCCACAGCCTGTTCCTCATAGGTCAGGCTGGATTTGTCACAAATCACTTCATAGTCGAGCAGCTTGTCCAGCCTTTTCCTGATCAGGTTCCTTGGGCCCACCAGGAGGTCACGGAGCGCACACAGCGGCTTGTGGATTAACATCCTCATCCTCTTTTCCTATATGGGAATAAAGATGATGCTCATCGTCAGACATCAGAGTGTTTGAGTACTCCTGGTCTGTGAAAACAGAGTGTCGGGTAGACTCACAAATGTGGGAAGAATCCACTGTCTGAGAGCGGTAGTGATCTCCTTATAGCAGATAGGTGCCTTCTCTCCATCCATATCCAAGTCAAACTCCTCTGTTTTGCAGGCCAGGAACCCCTGCAGACCAACAAAGAAGGAGCTCTCAAAAACTGCTCTGGAAGTCTGTTACGCTAATTTTGATTCATGAAAAGATTGTTTACTGAATTCACCACTGTTTTTTTTAGTTTTTAAGGTTGAAACTGGTTGCCATGGCCAAATTAGAAGTTGATAAGAGATGTTGCTTGGTGAATATACAAGAAAGTTGTTAACTTTCCTGGCCTGGCAAAAATAACTGGCCTTATATTAGCAGGAAAATATGGGAAAAGAAGGGTGCAGTGCTGATCCTTGGTGGTTTGGAATAGAGGAAAAACAGTTTCAACAGCAGATAATTTTAGGGTGGAAAGGTACACAGAAACTCATGTGTTTGACCTCAGGGACTTTAGGAGCCTCTGAGTTTACAGTGTGACTCATAAACATGTTCAAGAATAAATATCCTGTTATGTTCCACTTATTCCACTTCTCCACTGGTCACAAGTGACAGAAAGGCACTAGTTCCAGTCTTTGGATGGGCTGGTGCAATCTGACTGGGTGAAATCAATGAGATCTCGCTATGGCAGAAGTTTCATCCCTTCTGTCATAGCATAACTCAACAAAACTCCCCGGTAGCCGTTTTGTGTAATTACCTGTGCTGTGTTTAAATGTCTATCCTGTGGTAACATTGTGTGTATACTGTTGCAACAAATTTCCTGAAATGGACAATAAAGAATCTATCTATATGCACTCTCTTTACCAGTGGCACAGTGATTAGTCAAATAATCAATGTCAGTTCAATGACAGTTGTGATGAGTGATTAACTGTTTTGAGTCATTTATTTAAGAAACAATATCCAAATTCTCAGATTTTAGCTATCAAGTGTGAATATTTTCTGGTGTCTTTAGTCCTTTATAACAGTAAACTGAATATCTTTGGGTTGTGGACACAACCACACATTTGAGGACGTCACCTTGGGCTTTGGGAAACACTCTTCACCCTCCATTTCATACCTGCAGGTCTTCTTAGGTGCAAAAAACGTGTTGGTTGTTGTACTTACAGAAGGAACAATTCTGACAAAGAAGCATGTTATGTAAAAAGAATTCTTCTGGAGCCCAAAGCATCCACGGTGGGATTTTCAACTCAAAGTGACACAGATTTGATGTTGATATTTGATGATATTCCTGAATCTTTAAAAATGGGATGCTCATATGAGAATTCCCAAATTTTCTATTTCACCTGTGACAGGTTAAAAAATTAGGCCTTAGAGCAGTTTGTCTGAGAGGTGTCAGCATGGAAAGAAGATTTAAAAAAAAAAAAAAAAAAAATAAATAAAAATATATATATACATATATACATAAATACATATATATATACACATATATACACATATACATATATACACATATATATATATATATATATATATATATATATATATATATCACACATATATACACATATACATATATACACATATACACATATACTATATATATATATATATATATATATACACACATATACATATATATATATATATATACACACATATATATATATATATATATATATATATATATATATAAGAAGATGACATGTTTGGTATCCTGTGAGATGTTTCACTGATCAAATGTACAATCTGTAACTAAAATGAAAAAGCACAGATGGTGTCTTCAGTTGTTACTTGGTATCAAAACATCTCATACTGCTGCCACATACACATATACTGTAGGTCACTTCCTAGAATAATAGAACACTCAAGTGAGATATGAGCAGCAGTTTGTAGACACAGTGATAGATTGTCTGCAGTGTGAATGTAAACAAAGAAACACACATTTACATTCACAGTTTCCTGATTGCCTGTGAGCACTGGAGCAATCTGGGGTTTAGTGCCTTGCTCAGGGCCATATACATAAAGAAATGCAGAGAATCGCTGTTTTTGTTAATGAAGTCCTCCTCTACGGAGTCTACCATGTTGAACTGCCATGTTTCTACACGACGGACAAATTAAGCACAATGTAGAACAAATGCAGCCTACCTGTAGGTGATGCAGGTACGTCTCCACGTTCTCAAGGAGCTCCAGGATCCCATGCTCCAAAACATAGAAGAAGCCTTCCAGGGCGTCAAACTCCTCATCCACCAGCTAGAGCACCACACAGAGGGAGACATATATTTGTATGTATTTTTAAGAGTTTTTATTAGAATACAATTGGTTTGGACTTTTTGGATTTTAGTCAGCATATTTTGTATTATTGCATTAAACTTCAAATAGTTGTAGCTAAATGCTTAAAGTATACTGTAAATAATGTGAGTAGAAATTGTTTTTCATGCTTGTCATTTGCTTGACTGTAAGGTGTCAGCTTTCTTTCTTTAGCTGCTGGATCAGCACCTGTGGAATGATGCTATACATAAGTTAGGAACCTACAGTTTAATATAATCACTATAATCACTTGTACCAAACCTCAAGATCCCTGGAATCCCTGCTTTTTTATGCATCACTGGTACATCGGTGCATCTCGTCAACATGGTTTCTAGACATACAGCTTGTTCCCAGCTTTACTGCTTTTCTACAGTCTAGAAGTCTAATTCCTACAATGTTAATTATTACTTTTTAGTAATGCACACAGAAAGGGTGCTCCTAGTCCATTCCGTCCTCTAAATTTGTTTTAAATACCAAGAAATAGCTTTAAATGTGAATGCACAGAAGTTTGGGTTTTGCTGAGCTTCAAAGTGCGATTGCTATATATTCAGGTATATGCAATGCAGCTTCAACCCACATCTTATGTGAGAAATGGAAAAAGATCAAAGGCAGTAAGTAGGAGCAGGAAATTGTAATGCAGTCAAAAATGAAAGCAAAAGGGAGACATGTGAGCATGCTCATGGAGGTGAACTCTTGCCTGACCTGAAGAACTTTATTGGACTGACAAGTGCAACCATAGCAAAGGGCAGTGCAACAGGCCAGAGCAAACAGGCAGGTTCAATAAACGGTCATATCATAGGTTTACTCTGCATGTGAATCACTGCTCTGATGAATTATTAACTACTGCATTGCAACTGGAGGGAGTGTGTACTGGAAGATTATTGGTGGCTCAGAGGCCTGGAAGAGTTACCTTGAGGTATAAGCATCCTTTAATGTAACTGTAATGTGTTGCTTCTCTAGGGTTCTATGGGTTAGGTTCTGCTTTCTAATGCCTATCCACAAACAATTGACAACAATTGGTCAGGATCAGTTACAGAACAGCATCCTGGAGTTATTTAAACTAGTGCCATAAAACCTCTATCCTACCTTCGGTGTTATTCCAGTCTCATGTTTGATGTGCTGGCTGAGCCTTGCTGTCTTCTTTGCGATGCTGTGGGTGTTGAGGCGGTTGATCTTGTCCTTTATGGTCAGGGTCTCTGTCTTTTTGTATTTGTCAGCTATAATAATAATATGAGGGACAGTTAATCTTGAATACGGTACCAGTCATTTAACTGTGACTCTGAACAGTATATTCACTCTATGCTGCTGCCTCCCTCTACCTGTTGTGCTACATAGAGTAATAATTGATGCATCAGTGCCTTGCCGTACTATTTGCTATATTAACTGGATCACAGTACCATACCATAAAAAAGTACAACATTATATTTAACATTATCAGCTCATGTGAAAATAGTGGACTTGATGGTGACCCGTCTCACCGACTTCTCTGAAGCGTTTGTACTCATTGATGCGACAGTTCAAGGCGATGGAGGTGTGAGCGGTCTGCTCCAGAAGTGCATACGCTGGGTGAGCGCTGTCTGTGTGTTTCTGGATGGTCTGCAGGAGGAGGGGGTAGCGGGCGATCCGCTGGACCGGCATCACCAAGAAGAAACTCAGAGAGGTGGCATTTACTTCAGGCCTGGAGAGATGAATGGTAACAATGAACACTCATAACTTCGGGAGCAAAATCAACGACTGTTACATGTTAGGGCCTACTGTTTATCCAGGTGACATTTTTTTTTATTTTATGTCTTAAGCAATATTAAGCACAGCTGGTCTTAGTGTGAACCGAAATGATATAAACCTACGCTGAGGTCTTGATGACTCTGACGATCTCATTCCAGAGCGCCTCCTTCTGTTTGTAGCTGTTCTCCACCTCTGTCACATTGTTGTAGTTGGCCAAATATTCGTTATAGGCTGCCTCAATGTCTGAAGACAGGCTGAGGAATGAATCACCTGGAAGGAATATTTACATATTTACAGACAGGAACGATGCTCAGAGCACAAAGTACAATTCAGACACCAATAAAGAATGAACAATTTTAAAGTGCTAACAGATGCTTCAATTAAATGGTAGTTATTTATCTTTTATTTTCATTTATTTGACTAATCTATACAACGAATCATGGGACTCATGCTTTCAGTAACACTACCAATATTCTGATTAGAGGAACAACACTTGTTCCCCAGTTAAAATGCTGTCACAGCATATAATCATCTACAATCTAGACACATCTACCATGTCTTTATTTAAGCTTTAGTGGGATCCGGAATAAAAAAAATCCTTTACTTTCACTGCCCACTGTCCAGATCACCATTTACTATGTGCGCCAAAATTCCTAATAAGTAGTGTATGAGGGAAAATAAGTTTAGTTTTAAGTTTAGTATAATTGTCAAATTTTGCCCAACAAATGAAAAGTAAATTTCCATTCATCTAAAACCATATCACAAATACAAGAACAACATGCGGCCCAGACAGCCTATACATCTTCAACTGTCACCTCTCACATTTGGCTTTCAGCATGTGCAAATAAAGCAAAAGCCTTAACAATAAACTCTAGGATGTGTGCATTAAAATGGAGACGCACCCATTACAACATCCAGAGAAGCTTGCTGAGACTGTGAATTGTGTGAAACTCATTTAGATTCTCACATGAACATTAAAACCACATGTGACAAAAAGACGTGTGAAGATTGTATTTGTTTCCTGTTTAAAAGTGTGATCGAAGCAATTGATGTAGGAAGACCGAAACCAGCAACAACCGAACCACATCCTCATGGTAGCCTGAAAAGGTTCATGTAACCAGTTAAACCCGGTATTTGAGATGGGAGATTGGAACGCTGATCAACATAGTGAAAGTTAAGTCTTCTTGCTTACACAGAGTCTCCAAGTAGAGAGGGTCTCCAGGCTGAATCTGTTTCTGGTCCAGCAGGCTGAGAAGTCGAGTTGAGACGCCAATCACATCCTCTATGTAGAGAAACATGCTGTCCAGGTTGGCTGGAGGCGGCTGCGGTGGGCAGGGAGACAGAAAGGTACACCAATTCATTTCCCATATGTATGGAATTGCAAACTGGACCAAAATTCTGTTTAAATATGTAGCTGAGACATTCACATAATGATTTAACTCCACCAAAAGTCGTCTCCCATGGGCTGAGTGTGGATGTATTTGAGAGTTCCTTTTGAGTCACTTTCTTTCATTTCCCCCAAATATAAACCACAGTCCATGGCTCTTCAAGTTTTTCTTATCTTTGCTGTATGGATTATTATTTTCACACTCATCCTTACAGCTCATAAAGCCGGATTCCATTAAGTTTAATGAGTCTTCATTTCAATACCAGACCAACTTAAAGGTCATTTTTATGATCCATTTTTCTGATTTAAAGGTCCAGTGTGTAACACGTAGGAGGATCTATTGGCAGAAATGGAAGACAGACGCTGCGCCATTAAGTCCAACATGTTGAACCGCCATGTTTCTACAGTAGCCCAGAACAGACAAACCAAACACTGGCACTAGATAGGGACTTTAATGCTCCGTAGTTCCTCCTTCACACTTCCCAGCTCCTCATTCCCAGCTCCTCAAATACAGACACGAGCAGTGTTCAGTTAATTGCAATCTGCAACTTCACTGCTAGATGACACTAAATCCTACACAGTGGTCCTTTAATGTGATTGATTTGTGGAACTATGCAACACACTGAATCCAAGGAATAGAATATTTAAGTGAAAACACGTATTTCCAAAACATGCTATGATGTCAAAAAAACAAAAAGACACAAAATATATACAGTAACTTTACATTAGAAATGAAACCGAGGAATAAATATCCACATCAAACCACCTGAATTTAACAAAAATGTTGATGGCCTACATTAAATTAGCCAAGTAAGTGACAACAGGTATTTCAGTTTTTATCGGTTAGTAAGTTACTTACAACAGATAACAACAATAAATGTAGAATAGCGTAGCATTATTAGCATTAGCATCATGTCCTTTCACAGCTGAGGTTTCTGGTTGAACTGTGCTACTACAAGAAGATTATAGAGTTTAAAAGTAACCTTAATTTACATAAATTGAAATGAAATGTCTATCTTGTGCAACATATGCATGTGTGTCTGCTCCTCTGCAAGACAAATGCTAATACACAGCTGATAAAGAAGCGTTTTGTTTAACTCTATTCTATTCCGATGAGAGATAGTGGGCACTGCTGGAAGACTGAACAATCAACACATTGCCACAGAAAACAAACCAGCAACTTTCCTGTCTCACAATGGCACCATTCATTCACATATTTATTCTATTTCTCTGTCCTTCACTCCACTGCTTCACTCAGTCTTTCTCTTGCTGTCCTTCCTCCATCCATCATATTCTTTTACACATATTTTTAAATACCCTTTTCACCTCCATTTTTCTTTTATTGCCGCACATTTGCATTTACTCTCTTGACTGTACATTGGTTAAGACCACATAACACAGACAAATCTTTTTTCTTAATGTCTCTTTCATAAACCATTCCCCTACTCACCAGTTAATCTCCTTCCCTTAACAGGTCATCAGCCCATAATTAAGTCTTTCTATTTTCATTTCATTCTCTCTGCCTTCACCTACCAATCCCTCGGTGTGTTATCATTTTCATGCTCATCCACAGCTCAGTCCTTTCAGCCCATAAAGCCTGATTCCATTATGTTTTACGAGGCCTGATTTCATTACCGCAGTGCTAATAAATGATTATTTAGCAGTGATAAGCAATAACTCAGACGTGATGAAAAGCAAAACGATAATAAAACACCAAGCAGCCTCCCCATAACAGCTCCTCTAGATGCTGCAGACATTCAACATGTAGTGATTACTTTTTATTCAAAAGGCACAATCAAAAGGGTTGTGCCACATTAAGAATGTACAACACAGAACTAAAGTTGATTGATAGATCTTTTAATACAGGGACTAACTCTGAACAACAACAAAATCTTTGTTCAGCATATGTTGATGCTGTTAAAGATGTGACTAACATAACTGATCTTAACTTGCAGCCTTTTTCTTAGCAAATTTGTACTTTCATTTTCCCTTTCATTTTTTCTGTATAGTTCTGTATTTGCACCCAGGAGCTGTACACCTGTACAATAAGCAGTAAGGCCCAAAAATGTGTGTTTATTTTATATCATTGTAAATCTAATGTTTGGGATTTTGGACTGTCTGCAACCAATGACAATTTGAAGACCTCCACTTTTGAGCTGGATGCATTTCTATATAAAAATAATCCACAGATTATGATACTCTGTAGCATTTAGCAGCATTGTTGTGTCTGCAACCAAGACTTTCATTTCATTCATACCTGTAGCTTCTGTAGGTTGCTCCTGATGGTCACAGTGCTGACTTGCAGCAGTCGGAGGTAGTTCCTCTCAGACTGGACCAGCTCCTCTATGGCCAGCAGCTGCCTCTGGGCTGCCCTCTCTTTGGCTGCTGCTTCCTCCTCTTCAGACTTCTTTTTGGCCTCTTTTGCCTCCTCTGCCAACCTCTCCTCTGACATTGAGCCATCCTCTGAGAAACTATCCTGTGAGGAAAGTTTGAAATTTGTTTCCACAATGGAAGTATTTGTATCTTCGAGTCCTGAGGTGTCGGTTGGTGCCTCCACATACAGAGACACAGCCGACTCCTCCTCCTCAGTACTGAACAAATCCTCTCCAAACTGATCTTCGTCTGCCGTCCGATCCTTCTTCTCTTGAAGCTCCTCTTTCATTGGATGTTTCTTGGTGACCTTCTCCACAGCTCCGAGGGGAGATAAAGCCGATGAGGCCGGTTTAGGGAGAGGCAGTGTGAAGGAGGAGGGCTGGGGCCTCCTGGGAACCTCCATGTTGGAGATTACTGTGAAAGAGAAACCCTGTTTAGACAATGTGTTTTCATGTTTACATTTTATTTTTGTACTTACAGATAATATCTCTACACAAGTAACAGGTTCTTTATCTTCTTCACAATCACTGTTAAGCATCTCTCAAATAGGATTTTAGGTTTTTAATGTGGACTGCAATCTTCCACTGCAAAGCAAACCCATCACAAGATATAAGTGTTCTGCAAAGGGCAACGGCTGCATGGTGTCAAATTCCCTCATTCCAGTGTGGACCACATGGACCACATTTAACAGTCCAATCACAAGAAATTCTATATCTCAGTCACCTAATTGTGATGATACAGCAGATGATTGAGCAGCTTTAGCATCAAACACAAAGAAAAAATACTTTAAAAAGTCTAAACAGATTGCTGGTACTTGGCACAAAAAAATAATATTTGGATTATTTTGACAGATGTTATGATTATGATATGATTCACGGTTAGTGGGAATGATTATTTTTGCAGCAGTTTTCATTTCCACTGAAACAACTATTAAAATCATGATGATTTGACATTTGTTGGGGTCTGTACCAAACAAACATTTTTTAACATCTGGAGAACAAGATTTGTAGTCCTTGGCATCTTCAGCACTATGGTACTTCACTATAATGCTGTTTGTCACACATCTTTAACCTTTATAAAAAATTGCAGCTTCTGCAATTTGGATATTGATCTTGGCCATATAGCAATTATATGATGGATAATATTTCAATTAATTCTCCAGCACAAGAGCTCGGAGAGATACCTCAGGCCATTAAACATTCAAAGGCCATAAAAAAACAGAAAATATAACAAGCATAGGTTTACTTTCTGTAAATCCTCCGTCTGTATGGCTCCTGTATTAGCACTGTGTTGTCCATACAGTGCAAGAGACATGTCAGAAAAAGCACATCTGCATGACTAGGTGAAGAAATACAGATGTTAAATAAGCGGAAGACAACTGCTATGCTGTTGGACACATTCAGCATTACTTAAACAATCTTATTAGTCTGTCATTAATATATTACATATTTACAAGGACAAAATGAACACGTATGCAATGTCAAGTTCCATTTTCTACCTTCTGTTATTCACAAACCACAAAAGTGAAGACTTCTTTTTTTTCTCTAAACATCTGGCACCAGTTATACCTTCCTAAGAAAATTCATAGAATTTAAGGCAGATAATCTAACATTCCTGCTTTTGATTCAAAGTTTATGACTTGGAAGCAAAGTGCTCTCATATGAAGATGGTCTTATAACTCCATACACCAGCAGATAGCAGGCAAATGAGATGGCTTTTTTTATATTGTTTACATCACCCAAACATGCAGAGAGGGGAGATGTATTGTCATGGGTCCTCTGAGCTGGAACACCATGCGTTGGCCCACCGGGAGGCTGGCAAGCTGCTTACAGGGCAACTAATGCTGCCACTGCTGTGACAATTAGCCATTACATGGCTCAGCTGAACAGTCGTCTGTGGCTTTATAGAACAGGCTCTAATGACAGTTTTATTTTCAAATTTGATGTCTGTGTGACAAGTTACTCATGACTGCATCAGCAAAAAGGCTCAGAGTTTCCCCCCATGCATCACTGTCTGTAGGGTTGGGTACTTTTCAATACTAGTGCCTGTATGATAGCTAGGTTTCACTAACAATAACAACAATACCTATGTTGTGGAAATATGTTTCTCTACACTGCACTCTTCATTGTCTATGTACTGTTGTACTCTATGTACTATACAGACACATTTCCGTCAGTGCCAAAAAAATAGAGGTGGATTGTTTATATTGTCTGATATTGTAAACTATCTACAAACATGTTGCTCTATTGCATTACTAAAATCTCACCTCTAGCTGCTGCATGAACGTACACACTAAAACTGCTTGTTTGACATGAGTGTGAACTAAGTCGCTGACTACGGTATTTATGTGACTGACTGATGAACTGACAACAATGCCACACAAATAAATTCCTTTACATTGGTTGTTTATAGTGGATCTACTTACTGACAAATGGTTCTCATGTTTCTCACACAGACAAGCAAAATTATGATTTAAAACCAAACCATCAGATCAAAGAGCAAATCAGCACAATTTCAAACATGACTAGACATTTTATTGCAACTTCTGGTAATTGACGGTTTTTGAATACCAAAAAGTACCGATGTTCAAAACACAGAACTAAAAGGCACGAACTCTAATGAGATTACTATAACTGCTGGTTTAAAAAGAAAGCTAAATGAAGATATGTATAAATGTATAGAGGTTAGGCACAACAACACCTGTCCACTGCAGTAAAAACTCTCTTTCTGTTATTTTAAATTTCTGGATTCTTGTTTCAGTCTCACTGTTACATTTGATTTTGTTTTACTGTTTCATTATATATACACATGCTCAGCTGCCTGTTTATTGGCTAGCTAAATTAAGACAAATGCTGTCAAATACAGCAGTCCTTCATTAAGTAATACCTTCATGAAAGTTCAGTTTTTGTTCAGAGGAGTTGATTCAACCGTGGTTCTGTTCAACTGCAGTGGGGTTATACTGAGAGATTTTCCACACACATAAAATGTTTTAATTAACTCTTCATTCCTATTTTTGGTTATCATTAACAGCATGGCTACACTGGCTTGCCTTGTGTTCTTCAGGCGTCTACCACCTGTGCATCACTATTTAAATACGTACTGTTGTCATTCATTTTGATCTAATCCTACCACACGGATTTATCTTTTCCCTCCAATTAAAGGTTTAGGGGTTTAGCAGCATATGGTGACCCAGAGTTGGGGATAACTGAGATCTACAAGCAGAGCTGGGTTTTAAACTTTAACACTGTTTTTAGTACTAATGGAAATGATGGAAAACTGTATCAAAAGTTCATTATTTAAATCAAAATTTTGCCTGATTTAAACTAGTTTGTTTGGGAAACGTTCTTGACAGCCAGAAAAGTTCTGCTAGTGTTCAAACAAACTTTGACATTTTTAAATAAAAAAGTTGCTTGTAGAAAAGAGAACTCTACACGCAGTATAAGCCCTTTATAAGCCATTACAACAACCAAGCAGAGCAAAACAGATGACTCTTAAATAACAACCTGACGCAAAAACTTTCTTTACATCCCAAAACAAGTGTGTCAGAGCTCCAGGCTGAAACATCTACTGCCCACAAGCCAAACCAAAACCACACCAAACTTAACCATCCTAACAACGGCAGTGTGTATCAGAGTGACAGAATATCATTAGAAACATTTACATGACATCAGGCTATCATTACCTTTTGCAGAACCCCTGATTCAGCAGTAGTGAACCTCGATCTCCCCTCTCTCTCTCTCTCTCTCTCTCTCTCTCGCTTGTTGTGCTCTGTCCCAAGTGAAGCAGAAATCTGCTGCAGAGACGCTGCTGCATTGAAAACACACACACATACACACACACTGGCGTAACTTTCTCCAGTGACTCACACACATCAGGCTGCTGCTGGGCCTGCATGTGGCAGGAGTGTGTGAGTGTTTATTCACGAGTGCGTGCGTGTGAGAGAAAAACACAACGTATGAGTGTGTGAGGAAAGGGGGGATGGGAGTGGAAAGGAGGGTGGGCTGGCTGTTTTGCAGAGGAAAAAGAGGGGAGGGGGAGGAAAGGGTGGCCACACACACAAACACACAAACACACACACACACACACACACACACACACACACACACACACACACACACACACACACACACACACACACACACACGCACACTCATGCTGCTGAATAAGCTGATTGACTGCAGCAGCTGGTGGGAAGAGGAAGTGGCACTCACCCAGGCAGATGATGATTGGCTGGCCGGTCTTCACAGTGGAATGAAGGACCAATGAGACGACACCTGGAGAGGTTTCATGAAACACTGGACGGACCAATGAGGACTGAGCGCTGAAGTGATTGAAGTTTTCCTCTCACAGGAAACAAAAGCTCTGCGGGACGGCCCATCCTCTTCCAATTGCAAAGGGATTGTGTGGATTTTCTGCTGGAAGGAAACAAAAAGAGATTTACTGCTCGGAAATAAAAGATTTATGTAGGTTGAAGTTTATTTCAGACAATCAAACAAAGAATTAAAAAAAGTGAATGAGCAACTAGTAAGCACAGGGGTATTCAAATAAAAGTTAAGAGGACTGTGTGTTCACAACACAGCCATTTACTTTCATTCACTATTAAAGGGTACCCTACTGTGAAAATAGATTTACTTTAATATGGTGTTAGAGATAGCTGTCACAATACAGTGGTGATTAAAGCATTTAAAAAATGCATCTGAACACCACCAAGACTCTACCTTTATGCTAGCAGCTGTTGGAGGCTGTACTGACATCAGCATGTGCTGAACATGTGCACAATGACAATACTAACAATTGCTAATTAGCACTAACCACAAAGTATGGCTGAGATGCAGCATGTCATTAGTTTCACAGGTCATAAAAGAAAGTATTGAACAAATTAAAAATTTTTGACGTGATGATGGTGCAAGATGGGAAGTTAAAGGTGGGGTAAGTGATTCTGGAAAACTCCAAAACCAGAATAAATACACTGATATAGTGTGAACGACGACTAATGTAAATAAGTTGTGGGTTTACAAACTGTTGCAGCGCAGCTCACATGCAGAGAGGACAGAACACCAACTCTAGACAGCGACACTCACAACTCTCCTGCTACTACTGCTGACATCACAAGAACAGCTAACAAACTAGAAAGTAAGCTGAGTGTTCGTGGGAGAGTCATTTTACCTGACACACAAGTCCTGGCTGGAATGATTGGAATAACAAGTTAGTGTTGTGTGGCTCGGTCCAATCAGAGCCAGAGCTGTGTACCTAACACCAGATTATTTTCAGGGCACATAAAGTGTGGAAAGCTAGCAGGCCATGAGGAAATATTCACTATATTTGGAGAAGGGCGATTGCATTAGAATCACATTACCTCAAATTGCCTACCCTACCTTTAAAGGATCAGCAAAAACCTGACGTTTATCTCTGAAGTTAAAAAATGTGGTAAAATGCTGCTTTTATGACACATAAACACATTCAAACAACAGTTTAACTTTCAAGAGGTGTTTGGGTCCCCGTACAGCAAATACAGCTTCCGATATGGTTCAACACCTGAAGATCAATCTGTCATCCTTCACGATAAACATCCTTTCAACACAGAGAATCTGTTGTTTGATATAGTGCAGACAGGCAATGCCATCTTTGTTTGGACTTTAGATATTTTTTTAGAAGATGCATAGCATAGCTTTTATAAAAGGTTTGTTGAGTCATACAAGTATTTTATTATTGATCAACTTTTGATGATTCAACAGAGCATTTGTTAATCTTAGTGTGTCCGATGAGCCCTGAGCATAATAACAATGAAATGTTTGCAAGAACCTGAGACAATGATGGAATTCATTGCAGTCAAACTCGATTAGTGTGGAATGAGAGAGGCAGGAAGGCAGCGGATAATCCGTTTCATTAGATCGGCATTTCAGGGAGGAATGCTGCAGGACAGGATTCCTTCATCAGCTGACTGGTGTTGATCTGACGACAACTTAAGGCGTGTTGCAGAAGAGTAAGGCTTCTGCCAAGTGACGATGACATGTATCCAACTCTCTACAGTGACCAATGAGAGCAAACATCTTTTTCAGAACCAAAACTTGCCTTTCCAAGAAGAAAAGTGCTCGATTCCTAGGAAGCACTCAGCATACCTCTGCTAAGACCGAGCTAACTTCTGAAGCTGTTACAATTTTTGTTAGTGAAAAAGGAACCAGACCGTAAAAACTCAGATTTAGTTGCTAATATTAGCTTATTGCAGCTATATCGTACCTGAGTATAAGTCGGCCAATAACTAACAAGAGTTTGCGTACAGAAATGTCAAACAAGGTTTGAGGTCATTCAGAAACAGCGACACCATTACACTGTCTGCCCACCAAAGAGCACTTTATTTTATTTTTTATTTCATTTTTCACCTGTAAAATGTCCCGACCAGAATGGATGGCTAAAATCCTATTTTGAGGTCACAGTGAACTTTCAGATTGAGTCAAAAGTGTCACCAATTCAGTGTCTGACCAACTGTGAAATATGGTCCCAAACTTTTGTTTCTGAGTTATGATGTTAAATAAAAAGAAAAATTTTAAAAAGCCAAAATTGGGTTTTTTTCCAGCCATTATATCACAGTAAAGTTGACCTTTGAGATCTTGGGTAAAAAGTCACCACTTCAGTATTGTATCCCATTAAACATCTGTGTGAACTGTTGTCACAACTGCTGCATCAGTTCTCGGGTCATGGCAAAAATGTGTTTTGTGGTATCACAGTGATCTTCGACCACCAAATTGTAATCAGTTCTTTCCCTCGAGGCGTTCCTGGGATATTGGATTCACAAGAATGGGACGGACAGACAACGTAATGCTTCTGGCCATGGCTATTATCGCAGCAGAGGCGTAAAAATCATTTGCACCAAAAACGAATCACTCGCTCCTTGCCCAAGATATTAACTTACCAAGAAAGTTTATCAAGGCTGTCTGCATGTTTTTAAGATATCCTGCAATCTCTAAACAGGCAAACAAACAGGACCAAGAGCTTAATGTCCTTGATGGAGATATTAAGAGGGAAAAGGAATGATGATAAAGCAACTCAACTATAGCTGCTTTTAATGCCCTTCGGCTGCAGCAGTCTGAGCGCAACAAATATTTTAAAATCTTGTAGATTTTGATTCAGGAATTTCAATGGGTGAAACATACGCAGATATAATTGGCTATTTAGGTTGACAAGATCTATACACTTTTCCGTAAATGACTGAACTTGTACAAATCTTGCATAACACATGAGGTGTCAAGGTGTCAAGCACTTCTTGTTTTAAAGTTGGCATGACGTCATAACAAGAGTGGGAAGTGAAAGAAGTGTGAGAGCTGGGTGGAGTGATGGCTCTGAAAGGAGGCTAAATGTAGATCCCTGTTTACAGTAATTACAAGGTTGGTCCAGTTCCTTGCTTCTGAAAGTCCATTTTGTTCACATAAACACATAGCTTGATTTTGGTAGTGCGCTAGAAAGAAACCATTATATTACAGGATTTTCTATCAGGCATGTGATACTGGCTACAAGATACCAGAAGATTTTGATCCTGCATCATTGTTGACATTTCCTCAACTGGAAGTCAGCGAACCTGTTAATGTTAAAGCCTTGCTGCTGTGTGACACACAGCTGAGGAGAGATGACATGGCTGAAAAAGAAAACAGTGATGATGGCATCCTGTCTGTTCAGTCAGCACCAAACATCCTCCCTGTTAAATCCACTGTTTACCACATCATGACCCACACTGAGTGAAGAATTCTTTTAAGATGACTGTGAGTAACAGCAGATTAAGGGTGCGATCACACCTTTACTTTGCGTTTATGTTAGTGCTTGACCAATTGGTGTTGCTGGGGTAGAGATATTGGCAGCGAAAAGTGTTAAACAAATCTCTAAAAGAAAGAAAAGCAACATGATTATAGTGAGTTTTTTCACTATTATTATGTGTACTGGAGGATAAACAACATCTGCTAGTTAACTCTGATTTTAGAAGTCACAGTACTAATACTAATCCTACCCTAAAATAAATATGTTGCAGAAGAAAAGAAATATGTAACTGACAACTATATGCATCATATATGCAAGCAAGTTATGCAAGATAAAAGTCAGCATAACTCATGTGACTGCAAACTGTCCACAAACTGAGTGGAAAAACATGTTCCACCACAGGGGAGTCAAACAAATTGGATGTTCCTTTTTTTCAAATGTCGTGGATAACCTGTGTGGACTGATGTTAAACTGATCACAGACTGTCAATCAGAGGCTGTAATATTACCTATGTGTGTTAGGTTTCCTCTCTCAGTGTAGCTCCACTCAGGACACCAAAACCAGCGTAAGGAGGAGGAAACATCGTGGCATGCTGGGCTTCCTTATCACTGTAGAACGGAAATAAACAAAATACAGAGAGACTAAACATCACTTCTCACATCCGTGTAGCAGTGTTTATCTCTGGGTCTGTCTCTGTCTTCAGCTGGCCTTCCTGCCTGTCCCACATACTTATATCAGACAAGGAGGTCTGAGATTAAGGACAGTTGAACACACAGATTTCACAGATAACAAGGCATGAAGATGACATACTGTATATAATAATAAGGTGTTGGAAATACATGTTTATGGCTAACTGCACACAAATGTATGTTTCTGTACTGTAATATATTTCTAAGTTAAATATGTGCACATATTCCTCATAACAATCTTAGCTCCATGTGCAACAGGTGGCCATACTACAGCAATGTCATCTATCCTCAAGCCCCCCTGGTGTGAAGGAAAGGTGTCCCTCCCACATTTCTTCAAGCAGCCCACCATAACAGCGCCTTAGTTTAATGTTATAGAGCCCGCTTTATTTAAGGGAACCATAACGTTATCTTCTGGGGTGATAAAGTGACACCAAAACAGCACCTGGCCTACCTGTTTAGATTACATTATGAGTGAGAGCAGAGGAGACCGGCGAAAATCCGTAAATACATTCATATTTAATGCCTTCAAGCATTTTCTTAACTCACTTGGTCGACATGTCTGTGGGAGGATTTTCCACCAAGAATATCTCGTTAGCAAACTGCCGCAGAGAGAGATAAATAGGCTTATTGTATGTAAGGTTGAGGAATAATACGGTCTGTCTGCTGCCTCATGTTCGGATAAAGACGACAGAGAATGACACAGATATAGAAATACATGTGATAAAACGTTTACCTTTCTGTTGCCGTCCTCTCATCGCGTATTTCACCCCGCCGTGACGTCCTGTCCTCGGTTTCTGACGCTGAACTCCCGTTCACCTGTTGTCAGCCAGCAGCCTGTCAACGTCGCGACAACAACAACCGACACCACGTCCGGTCAATACTTCACAAAATAAAGGTCTTATAAAGCGGCAACATCCATGTTGTTTTCAGAGTAAAAGCCCAACAACAAATATGCTGCTTGTCAATTTAACAATAACACAGATGTGAATAAGGAAAGCATAAACAAGGAGCTAGTCATTTGTAAAGAATATAAGTAGATTGGAAGGAGTGGTATATATTTTAATTTAAGCTTGTAGCACCAGTAGAGGACAATGTAGCATTATAGCACCACAAAAAGTGATCTATTGGAAAAGATGATTCAATAATTTATATAGATAAATATATACAATGTATAAATCAAAGTCAGGAAGCTTTATACAGTACAGGACATTACCCTAAAACAGTGTGCACACACATACACACGTAAAATGGTGAAGTCTTCGGATATTCTGGATCAAGTTTTGTGTGATTTGTATATGTATATGTATATTTGTATTTTGTATGCACCAACGTAGTCACAAGTCACATTCCTCGCAGGTGTAAAAACCTACTTGGCAATAAACAATTCTGATTCTGAAAGTTTATCTTTTATTATGTCATACACAACTTCCACTGACTAAATTCCCATAAATACAAATATAGTAGTCTAATATATACACGTTTATGAGAGCAGACAGAGGAAACATTGTGCCAAGGAATAAAGTCAAACACTATACACAGTGAACAGGCAGCTGTTTACATCCAGTAGAAATTAAAGAAAGAAAGTTAGAATTTCTTAAGTTGAAGTTTAAATTTATGATCTAATAACTCCTGAAGATACCTCGGGTCTAACTCCTCTCTTACTTTCTTACTGTCTAAGTATGTACAGTTGTGATACAGCCAAGTAAAAAGAGGAAATAACGTTTGTTGTTCTTTCTGACACATTTCATTTTGTGGATATAATATTATTTCAAGATACAGCCCAGTTATTCCATGGCTGTATGTTTACTCCAGGACGCCAGGGGGCGCCACACCGTCTCCTCATGTAACTGCGACAGAGGTGAAAGGTTGTGAGTCTGACAGCGCCACATGCATGATGTTGTGTTGTTGATGCTGGACATTTAAAAAGCTTTTACCGCTTCAAGCTGTTTCTTCTCGGTGGGTTTTTACACTTTTCTTCCTGTTTTTGTGACGTTTCGAAGCTGTCATTTCCCGTTTGGTTAATTGAATTAGTGCAGCTCAATATCAGGTCGCTGCTTCTAGTTTAAATGTAAGCTAGCTCATTCAGTTCCATTTTCGGACACCCTGTAGTTAACTTAAGTCTTTCCTAAAGCCCGTAACAGACTGGTTATCTACACTGTAAAGTACTTCTGAAGCTGCACCGTCATTGTCGGATAATGTCAACTGTCTGACTTTCGGCGGAGTGATACAACGGTACTGATGCCTTCAGGGAACCGTCGAAGCTGTTCACTAATGTAATAAGGGAGTTGCATCCAGGTTGTGGGTTAAAATGGAAAAGTGTGTTACAGGGCTGTGTCCGATAATGAGAGAAGTCCAGAGCTACGAAGGAAAGCAGATAGTCTTTCGCATTTGTGACTCTGTGGACAACGCATTCTGCTTTACTTGAACAATTAGAGACAATTGAATGAATTTAATTTCCTCAAACAGCAACAGACAGATCCAGGGGAGACGTTATGTGAACAGGGCTGTGCAATAGATGTATCTGATGATACTATTTTTAAAGAATTTGTCATGTTGCTTTTAAATGATATTTCACACCAGGAAAACTGGAAAGTAACCCTCCATAGATACAATTGGTCAAGCAGATAGAGGCCTTCACTGTTCATGTCAGACAGCAACAAATGTAATAGTGTGACAGTTTAAATAACACAAATCAATCACAGGAAGATTTCTGGTGTTTTATTTGCAGTATTGCTGTTGTACTGATGTACCACTCAGATATATTATTAGGTGTTTTGCAGGCTCAGGCTCGGTGTGTTGTCAGTCTGTCCTGAGGTAAAATGCGGAACTTGAAGCTGCTGAAGAGCCTACGGAGCTCGGAGCTGCAGGGTCCAGGCTCCCCGCAGTGTTTCGCTGTGCGGGCTGACACCGGCTCGCTGCTGGTCGCTTCTCACTACTCCATCACAGAGTATGACCCCCGAACTGGCCAGGTGAGCTGGTGATGACACACTGTACATGTCTCTTTGCCCCCGCAGGAGACGGGGTTTCTCAGTACTGGCTGATGAGAGCAAAAATTGTGCTTTTTATTCCATTTAAAAATCACTATAGCTCTGTTTCATCATTTGTTTTAGCTGTACCTCATTAAGGATAGTAATGTGTTCAGAGATGTGTCTAAATTAGAATTTAAAAAAAGGAAAGAGTCGTCGTTATAAACTACATTTGAAGTTGAAAGTTGGTTGACTCACCATTAACTTTCCTCCATTCTGCTCTGCAGGTGGTCACTGAGGCCTCGCTGACAGCTGAGGGTTTCCTCCCGGAGGATGGCAGCGGAGTGGTGGTCGGCCTCCAGGATCTGGCTGAACTCGAGTCGGCATGTTTGGCCACGGCTGGTGGCGACGTCGTCCTCTTCAACCTCAACACCTGCCAGGTTAGCAGCACAGAGGCGCTGGAAAGTTAAGAGTTAGTTTTAGGCTAAGGTCAGGATAACGGGGCGAGGGAATGCATTATGTCAGTGAGGGTTCCTCACTGTCATGTGTGTGTTCATGTCCCACAGTTGGAGTGCTTTGGCAGTGTGGACAGCGGCCTGACCTCCATGAGTTGGAGTCCTGATGAAGAGCTTGTTGTTCTCACTACTGGTCAGTATGTTATATTAATGTCAAAAACGCACGCTATACAAATATAAACATTTTTAGTTTTAAATCAAAAGCTTCCACCTCAAGTCAGACAGACAGAGCTGTCGGTTTCTAAACACTAATAATTTGTGCTCACAGGTCAGGAAACGATTATCATGATGACCAAAGACTTTGAGCCGATCACTGAGGTCGGAATCCACCAGGATGACTTTGGTGAAGGTACGGTGGCTTCAAATAGTGCCCGACCTGAGGGTCAGGACTCACAGAGGTGCACGAGATTCAATGGTTCATGGAATGTGGAAATATTTGTAATATAGCTGAATGATCTATTGTATATTATGTGTTTTACAGGGAAGTTCATCACTGTGGGTTGGGGAAAAAAGGAGACTCAGTTCCACGGCTCAGAGGGGAAACAGGCAGCACAGAGGAAGGTCCAGGTGAGTGTTCAGCTGCAGGAGAATCATAGCCTCAAAGCAAACACACATGTATCAAAATGTTGAAAATGAGTGAAAAATGTGTTTTTATATGAGAATATTTGGTATGATGTACCCACAGGAGGTGCAGCCGGCTGCAGTCTGGGACGACCGCAGGCCGAGGGTGACGTGGCGAGGTGATGGTCAGCTGTTTGCCGTCAGTGCCATATGTCTTCAGACCGGGGCCAGGAAGGTCCGCGTCTGGAACAGAGAGGGTGTCCTGCAGGCCACCAGCGAGCCCATCAACGGCCTGGAGCAGGCGCTCTGCTGGAAGTGAGACTGCTACCAAAGCAATTTTCCCCTTCTCTAGTTCATTAAAAAATAATTCTGTCAACTGTAGCTTTCGACCACTGTACAAATGTCTGAAAGAAACCCTCTTCTGGTGTTTCAGACCCTCAGGCAGCCTGATAGCAAGCACTCAGCGTCACCCCAACAAACACAGTGTGGTTTTCATGGAGAAGAATGGACTGCTGCATGGAGACTTCACCCTCCCATTCAGCAAAGACCAGTCCAAGGTACATTCAGCCATTAGACATTAATATCCAATAATGAATAATAATAGGGATATTTATTTTTCATAACCAATACAAAACACTTTGATTGATGTGTGTGTGTTTCAGGTGAAGGATCTGCTGTGGAACAGTGACTCCACTATTTTAGCAGTTTGGTTGGAGGACATGTCTGCTGGAGAAGACAAACAAGTCAACACTTACAGTGAGTTTCCCTCCCTCAGGCCTATCAGTGGCATAAAATCTGTGCCAATCCATCATTCCTCCTCTGATGTTTACATGACATGCAGTTTATTCTGTGTCATCAGGATGTGGAGGAAGATGTTTCCATGGCTTGCTTATAGAACTTTGTAGTTATGTTACTGTAAAGGCTAAAGATAACACTCTACATTACAGGATTCAGCCCCCTAAAATCTGTCTGTCACTATGCTGTATGTATTAACCCTTTAAAGTTTGCAAAAAGATTGTGTTTGAGCTGATCTTTTTTTTTAACCAAATTATTGTCTTTCATTGATTGGAATTTGGAGTATTTGGTTCAGGAGAAGCAGAAGGAAATTAAAAAAGCAGGAAATGAAATGTGTGAAACATTTGGTCTGACTGAATTTAATAAATAAATTATTCAGGGTTGCTCCCTGGAATACCGGGAAAATTAGATACTAGTTTTACTAGTTTAACTAGGAACTGATCTAATTTCTAGACCTGCTCTATTTTTAAACGTTAAGTCATCTTAAATGTCTCCATGCTGTCTCTGCAGTCCAGCTGTGGATGGTGGGGAACTACCACTGGTATCTGAAGCAGAGTCTGGACTTTGGCAGAGACTCTCAGAAGGCTCCGGCCTGTGTCTGCTGGGACCCTGAGCGCCCCTTAAGGCTCCACGTGATGACCCGCAGCTGGACCAGCATCACCTACGACTGGGGCTATACCACCGAGAGGAGCCCCGGGCTGGACGCAGCCGACAACGCCAACGTGGCTGTGATTGATGGAGGTGAGAGCCAATGAGACGAGAGAACGTTTGCACAACAGTAGGATGATTCCAACATGACGTTAATATTTATTTAAACCACCTCAGATAAAATCCTGGTGACTACCTTCAGACAGTGTGTGGTTCCTCCTCCCATGTGTTCGTTTGAGCTGCAGCTGGCCTCACCAGTCAACCAGGTGACCTTCCTCTGCCAGCCTCAGAGGACCAATCAGCTGGCAGCGTTGACGTCTGACGGACAGATCTCCGTCTACAGCCAAGGTGGGTTATACAATGTTTCCCTT